CCATCTCTAAGGATTTAGGATGTACTAAGTCCCAGGGCAGGACTCTAAAGCCCATAAAGCCAGGGCTTCTTTGATACTGGACCTGTTTTGGCAGCACCAATTCCACCAGTTGATTGCCAAAAAGCCGGACATGTCCGGGAAAAAACGGACGTATGGTAACCCTAATAAATTATCACAATCTTGAAGAATCCACAGAGAGGCCCAAAGCATCCATGCAGAGCCCATCCTTGATTTCCCTCCTGCCACCTTTCTTCTGCACCCTGTCTCAGGACCTCTGCTCTCATGTAGTTCTCACTGGCTGCCCTGATCTCTTCCTTGAGGGAAGATCAGCTTGCAGAGGAGGGATACTTCATAAGCTAGTGACAACAGGGTCAGCATTAATTTACGTGAATAAATTCCTATGAATGTCGAGTGGGTAGATGTCACTTCATGTGGCTGTTTACGTGCCCCTCTTCCTCGTGGTGTGCAAAGCCCCAGTCCTGTGCTATGTCAGTGAAGGGGTTTCCATAGGCTTTGGGGATCCCCTCCACATGTTATGGGAGAGGGGAAAATAAGGACAGTTGTAAAGTGCTGAGGTATCCAGACCATGTAAACATGGATTAGATCTCTCTCCAATTAGAAAGATCAGTCATTTATTTTGTTCATTTGTTTACATATTTGCTTTCCTCTGGATACTTCAGCTAGAACCAGATTTGGAAACTTTGCGTGAGAAGCTTTTCTTGCAGTGTCCACCTAACTCAAAACCAGGATACAGGGGAAATTAGAGTTGTGTAGTTAATAATTTTCAGAAATCCAGACAAGTCATCCCACAAGAAACAAGTAGACCTATATCCAGCCTATCTGTTGGCTTTGAAAAGATTATTAGTTTCATCAGCAGTTTGATGCTCTTCTTGATAAGAATATACATGCGCTGTTGGGTGTAATGCCAATCATAAATATTCATAAATATGTCACGCATGCCTAGGCCACATAGCTGCATATCCTGGACTGTGTCCTGCACAGTGAGAAAACACAGCAACAGCTCCATTATCAGCACAACAGCATGATGGCTTGAATTTTTACTGCTTCGAGTACCATAATTGGGATCTGGAATAAAAACTGAAGGCATTTGAGGGAAGAGCAAATTGCCTATTCAGTTGTAACAGAGAGATGTGTGCATGCTTTTGCAAATCCCTCCTACCATGCCTGCAGGAATGTGACCTCCCTAGGCCTCTAACCTGGAACTACAGAGTGTCTTGTTATGACTGAAATTCACATGAACATTTTCTGCATCCCACGATATGTCAAGTCTAGTCATGTTCAAAATAGTTTACGTTCCTCACCATAACACAAATATGAAGTGTGGCATGAGCTCTTTACTCAAATGGGGCTGCACACGCTCTTTTACTTAAATGGCACCTATGTAGGGTTTTACTTTATCCTGGACATACTCTGAAATTCACACTGTAATTACACATCCCCACAGATGTGTTTTCATTCCAGTGTAATTCTAATTTACAAATAGCTTTTGTAAATAGCTTCTGGTGAACTTCCTATGATAAATTTAAGAGAAGATTCAAACTGAATTGAACCTGAAACTTTAAGGTTTAGAAACAGTTGGTCAATTTATTTTGTTATTTTATGTTTACAGTTTTGTTGCCTCTGCATATTTCAGCTAGAACCTGATTTGGAAACACTATAAGAGATTATTTTCTTGCTGTGTTTCCAACTAAACCAAAGACAGGGTACCTTGGATAGCTTGAAAATTTGCATGACAATCCATCTGAATTTCTAGGCCCAAAAAGGTCAGGATAAGCAGTCACATTTTTTAGATGTTTACCAAATTGTTGGTTTTCTTCTTCAAGTGCCGGTCCCTATGTGTAATTCACTCTGGATATGCATGAATTCCATGCAGTGGTGCCAGAACTGGGGGGAGTGAGAGGGAGCACCAGGGCCATCCCACTTTTTGAAATGCCCTTGCTCTCCTCATGCCTCCAGTCAAAGAGATACAGGGTGGAGTGGGCTGACTGCCTTTCCTGTTCCTTCCTAGCCGTACCCATGAGGCGCAGAAACTTCAGGTTAGAAAACACTTCATGGAGAAAGTCATGAGGCCACAGCTGGATCCAGGTTCTAGCTGAAATATGCAGAGGCAAGCAAAACTGTAAACATAAAACAACAAAATAAATTGACCAATGTTTCTAAACATAGTTAAGCAGACAGCACTTGGTCAAGAGAGGAATTCTTCTGTCAACCTCGCTATCGCCTCTTGGAGAGGTGGATTACCTACGTTGATGGGAGAATCCCTCCCATCACTGTAGTGAGTGTCTACACTTCAGTGCTGCAGCTGTACCACTATAGTGTTTCAAGTGTAGACAAGCCCAAAGTCTGCCTCTTCTGACCCCTTTGGTATGAGTGCATCAGACCCCTTGCACTCCAAGAAGGTCAGAGACCTATATCACACTGGAGAATATCTTTGCTCTTCCCCCATCATCAGGACTTTCCCTAATGAGGAAGATTGTGACTCCAACAGGGGATGTTACCTTGGACAGAAGTTTATCCCCTCTTCCAGCTATGCTTTTTCTCTACCAGAACCATCAGTGGATATGGATTCGTTCTTCATAGAATCGTAGAATATCAGGGTTGGAAGGGACCTCAGGAGGTCAGCTAGTCCAACCCCCTGCTCAAAGCAGGACCAGTCCCCAACTAAATCATCCCAGCCAGGGCTTTGTCAAGCCAGACCTTGAAAACCTCTAAGGAAGGAGATTCCACCATCTCCCTAGG